AATTTGAACACATTCCTTTTCTGAAATCGTTAAATTTTAGCAGACCTCCGTCAAGTATTCAACCTGGAGCATGTATAAGTTGAAGTATACGTAGAATATGTGTTGCGTTAAAAAAACATTTGTGCAAATTTATCAAACACCCCTGGTGTGGGCCCAATGCGCACTTTCCAATATTTTTGAAGAATCTATAAAATGTCCGAACGTCACTGTTGTTGCTAGCATGCCTGCTTAATGAAGGCGGACACAAATATGTGCATAAAGAACAATATACGTGGACGATTTCCAGATCTAAATTTGTGCTTGGAAGATGACACTTTCAAGTTTGTCTTCGAGGGTTACTGAAAATGTGTGGCTCAACTACATTTGAACCGTACCAGACAAACAAGCACCAATTGACTTCATAATGATTCCTCACAAACTGCGTTATAAAAGTCGCAGATCAACATGTCTGCCAACTGACTCTTCGCTCAAACATTATTGATTGGGATGTTATCACTTAATTTGCCTAAAATAATCACGTGGCCTAAAGCGTATTCCATAAAAATAACAAACTTCCTCATTATTGAACTTCTGACCCGTAAGTCGCCTTCAACGTTTGCCAATCCAAGTGTCTTGACGTCGTTTCTTTGCCCCTCACCATTGACCCCACCAAAGCACAAATTTCATCCATTGATAAAGTGCTGAAACGTCTTGCAGGAAAGAAACAACTACCAGGAGAAATCGCGAAATCCCTGAGACAAACTGAACCAACAATCGCTAAAATCTATGGATTACCGAAAGTCCACGAACCTGACGTACCATTGCGACCGATAGTATCACCAATCGGTGCACCGAATTACAAAATCTCTAAATGGCTATTCCACAAACTCCATCCCTTAACAAAGGATTGTGAGACTTCAATCGAGAATTCAATTGAATTCCCAGATAAGATAAGAGGACTCACTATTAAATCAGATGAGATAATGGTGTCGTTCGATGTCATCTCTCCATTCACGTCCATACCACTCGATTTGGCAAGGCAGTGCACAGAAGAACTCTCACAGTCCTACGACATGGATGTTCCTGCATCTGCTTTGCTTGAAATCTTGGACCTATGTCTGGAAACGAACTTCTCGTTCGCACATGAATGTTATCGACAGCTGAAAGGGGCTCCCATGGGGTCACCTATTTCTGGCTTTTTGGCTGAAGTCACAATGCAAAAATTAGAGGCTATAGCCTTACCATTAGTCGATCCCAAATTGTGGGTACGCTACGTCGATGACACCTTTGTCATCGTCAAGAGAGATCAGCTAGAAACTCTGCATAAAGCTATCAACTCAACACTACCGGGAATTACGTTCACGCTCGAAAGAGAAGCTAACAGCAAACTCCCATTTCTTGATGTCCTCGTACAGCGAAAAACTGACGGGACATTCCAGACATCAGTATACCGCAAAGAAACTTACGCGGAAGTTATCCTACATTACGAGAGCAACCACCCTATGGCTCAAAAACGGAGTGCTGTTAAGACCCTACTCAATCGAGCAAAGACACATTGCTCTGAGAACGAAGGTTACAAAGAAGAACTCAATTATCTATTCAACCTATTTTCCCAAAACGGCTACCCCAGAGATTTTGTACGCAGATGCATGAAAGAGCAGGAATCAAAAGAAAGAGAGAAGGAACTAGATTGTTCCGATCAGACACCAAAACCAAAACATTGGCGAACGCTTACCTACATTAAAAATGTGTCACCTGAGGAAGCACCAAATACAAGTGGCTCACAAACCGACTACCACGCTACGCAATCAGCTTGTACACCCTAAGGATAGGGTTGGCTATTCGGATAAGAAAGAAGTAGTCTAGAAGATTCCATGTGGCACTTGTAATGCAGTGTATTGTGGTCAAACCGTAAAATCTGCCTCTACACGCCTACATGAACACCGATCGGCAGTGGAGAGGCGGGACCACTTATCCCAAGTCGCCATGCATACTCTTGAAAATGGGCACAAATTCGCTTGGGATAAAACACGCATTGTCGGTTCCTGCCCATATAAGAAAGGCCGAGAATTCCTAGAGGCCATTCACTCTGATGATTCATACATCAATCGACGCATCAACCTTGATACCATGTACACAAGTCTCAAAGAAAAATGGAAAAGGTAATAGCCAATCAAGACGTGACATCAGCCCACAGCATTAACCCATCCTCAGTCATGACAGCGCAATAACGATTTTTTCGGCATTGTTTAAATTTTGACTGTTTCTTCACACTTACTACACGTCTGAAGACAAGCTGGGGAACCAGACTTGAAAATTTACGAAATAAAGTTTGTTCATTTTCTTAAAGGACTCATTCTTCTTCTAAATATAACTATATGTACACATGCATATACACAAAGAAAAAATGCATTTTCAATGCCTATTCCATCTAGTTCAACAATAAATGCTTCGTCCTACGTTGAGACCATTCGAGAAGCTTCAGCCGTAAAACTAACATGGCAATCTTTTTCGTGCTCCTAGTATTTTTTATCGGTTGGTGAACGTGAACAACATCATGTGGGCCTTTCATGCCAGGGCAAGTAGTTTCTTCCTAACCTGATAGAACGTGCTTCCGTATACTCCTAAAGGGAGCGCCAAACTGGGTTTACTGTGACGTTCTTCGAGAATTGGATGACATAATTTTAATGATTGAAGTCCTAATTTGAGGACACGTTCTACCATTCAGTAAATTGCACACGAGACTTCACGATGGGAGAATGACTCACATCGTTGTTGCGCACAGAAAACCTCCTCATACAGTCATCCAGTCTATATGCGTGATAGGCATGTGATGATTTCAGTATCGGAAGATCAAAATCAATGGAAATAGCATTCTGCGGAGTCCAGTAGCAACAAGCGCGACTTCCTGCCAATTAATCTCAGAAATGAGCCGACTTAAATGCTTGTCTTCATATGTAGTTAACGCAAATCTTTAGTGCTCACTCGTACTCAAGAATGTCTTGTTGCGCTTGATGTCTAGCCAAACCTATTCCAGGGATGGCACCAGAAATCACAGCATAGAAACGACTTAAAATCGAAACCATAGAGACCATGCCGAAAGCTCTCTAAACAGTCAACCTTCACGTAAATAACGACATTGGTGCCCGATTAGGGATCGTCAAATATTGAGCAACGACTGAGCCGACGAATTGCTTGGCGTCGATTTATGAAGATCTACATCAACCGCTACAAAGTTGTTGTTGAAAACGATTAAAAGTCGAAACAAACTTAGGCAGCCAGATTTGAGAAAATATATCAAAAATTCATGAAGGCTTTCCTAGCAAACTTTTACTAAGCTGAATTTGGAACGAACAAGACAAAATAAAGTCGAAGCTGGTACACTTACGACCCGAACTGAAGGGGATGCCGCCCGCGCCTATAACTGGTGTAGCCTTCTTTACGTCTCTTCACAGGGTACCGCCACACTATACCATTGTAAGTTTTTCTCTTGAGTCGTCCGTTCCAGTAAATTTTTCGCGTCTCTCATAATTACAAGGCGTTTTGAAATCGATTTCTTCCCTATGCATGTTCATGGACACCGCTGTTGTCTCAGCTGTTAGTTTTATGAAGTTTAGCGAGATTTCTTGAGATGCGAATTTGTTATACAAAGATATATTTTGATATATTTTGCGTTGATGTTTGCGGTTACGGAAACTCTGTCACCACCAAAGAGTGGACAATGTGGGGCAACAGTTTTTCAGATAGCAAGCCTAGTAGTTTGAGGAATGTCTGATCAAAGGTGGTTCAGGAATTTTTTTGAAGTACTGTAATTTCTGACCAGTTTTTCAACATCGTTTGCTCCTTATTTTCCAGATAGCCCGCACAAAAGACACACACGAAGATGCCGATCTTGGTAAAGAGTCACTTTTCCGAAAATCCGCGCGCTATTTGGGGTTTGAAAAGGCACCATTCGACCCCAAATCTCCACCCGAAGTTCTTGTTGAGTTGATGCTAATAAACGAAAGGGACTCTGTTCGCAGTGGCTTCCAGGCCATCGATAAAACTCACGACACACGTAAGTGTTCTAATTTCATTCTCTCTTCTTACGCAAAACATACTTAATCTGCTCGTATCTTTCCGTTCCTCTAGGCGAGCGTTGCCTAAAGCGCAAAGTCCTCTGTGCCAGATTTGAGCCCTGGGTCCCCAACGTAACTGCAATCACTGAAATCTTTATCCTCAGTCGGATCGGTGACCAGTTGACTGGGCATACTTACGTAGGGTAAGTCACAAGTCCGTTCGTTTACAAATATTCACTGCTACTGCACACCTCAGTATCAAAACGATCTACGTGCGTGATTGCAGCCGCAGTCACCCGTTTTATCTTACCTAGGAATGCGTAGGCAAATCATTAGGTGTCCACCTCTGCCCCATCTTCGGGTTACATCATTATCGCAGCAGACTATGAACACGATTGTTAAGTCCTGGAGTCCAAACTGATACTGAAAATATCAAAACTTGTTGGTGAAACAAAGGATAATTTAAGCGTAGGTCGAGAGGGGAAAAGCTTGATGCGAAAGTCGACTAATGAAAATAATCATGAGTAGAAGTCGTCCCCAATGAGAGCTGTCAAATAGCACAGTAGAAGTTAATGTGCCTACTTCGGAGACATCCTTTTTGAAGGTTCGAAGTACATAGTTTTTACGGCTCGACCACTCGCATTTTCTCTTGCTTTCCTTTCAAGGAACGCTGGCACAGTCGTCATTTTCTCATAGGAGATTGAATCAATCATCGTAGACGTGCTATCGCTCTGTATGTTTGACATGAGCGTTTAAAGCATCTCATGTTTGCTTGGGAAACAGTTTCGCGGGGATCAGGAGAAGTATGCCACTTGCTGATAATGACCGGTACGCTGCTAAACATACCAGGTAATAAAAGGCGGAATAAATTTAGATTGAACATTTGAAATGTATATGTTTGTCTACTCTTAGGGACATTGATGCCGGTCGCATATAAATTTTACAGCCTGCCATTTCTCTTATTGTTTCTTCTTGAAAATGGTTGCCTGGACGGGCTGTGGGGGTAAAAACATATTCTTCCGTTGTGGTCCAACTGTTCTCTTTACTCCAGCGTACATACTCTTGTGTACGTGACCTTGAGTAGACTGCGTTTGTACTTGTTGAAAGCTCCAAGTAGGGTTTTGTAGATCCGAGTCCCAGTTAAATGAAAAATACCGATCAGGGATATCATGGGATTTGTGTTCCTCAGTATATCACGGATGAAGGATGGAGACGCTCGTTGCGTTCTGCCCTTCATTTCTGATTTAAAGCCTCACAGACGTTCGCACACCGACGGACAGCCATGCAAATTTACAAAGGACACAATCAGGAAAGATTGAACTGGTCACATTTGTGCGTCTGCTCAATGCCTGACTAAATCGAAATTCAGAAACGAGATTTATCGCACTATGGTTAGAGGATGGCCGATTAATAATGGCAGCTAAGTTGAAAATGGTCGTTTCTACAACCTCGCTTTTGCCGACCATATTTCGGAAACCTAGGGGTTGCCAAACGTGAATGTCTGTTTATTCAACCGTTTCATATGTGAGCAGAGACAAAAGTACACATTTTGAGTTCTCGTCCTCTTTGTAGACAGTAATTTGCTACCACGGTTTGGCATCAGTGCTTAGGACTGTCTGCAGGTATTTTATCTAGAGATGCATATTCCGCCACTCCTACAACGTCGAACTGTCGGTCATGGTTCTTTCAGACAGCCTCGAGAAGATTGGAGAGGGGATCGGGGACAGTGGCCGACAAGCCTGAATGGCCGTCTTCGCATGCCATTCCACTTCCTGCTCCACGCACGATGCGCCAGGGGATGCCATAGAGTCCTTATTAGGAAGAAGCCATTGCAGCCTGAATCTCCCTCCAGAGAGGAGGTCCGAATCGTCCCACCGGTTGACAGCCTTCCAAGTCACGGTATTTAGCGCACTGTGGTGGTTTGAAAGCGCGTCAGCTCGTTTATAGTGAGGTAAGTGCGGGGAGTGCTGTGAGGACAGTCTCCAGAGTCGACCTCTTTCTCCACCGTCCGAGACGGTCAGTCATCTGATGCGGGGATTGGGCGCATTGATTGACAGCCGTCTGCTCGTGCAGACTACTGGCCGGCACGAGGACTGAGTGACTGTCCGAGGGGATGTTGAAGCACCTTTGCCGAACAATGGAAACATCTGGCGGAAGGGCGCCGATCGGAAAAGTAGCCGCGAAACCTGTCAAACGTTCATTAGGGCAAAGTGGACGCCTAAGCGGTTAAACATGATCACAGATCACAAGTTATGGTACAACTGACGAGCTCTCTGCCACAAGACGGGACTTTGGCAGTTATCAACAGATGACGAAGACTGCCGGTATATAAAGGAAGTCAGTCGAGTTTTAGCTCGTTTGGACGAACGTCAAGTGGTAGCACAGTGACTGGACCTCGCGAATGCGAGCCTACTTGCTGATGCCGTACAAACTGGTAGCTTCGTAAGACTACTCCCCCTTCTCCCACCTGTGCTAGAACGCTTCATGTTGCTTATAAGTTTAGTGCCAACGCGTATGAACGAGACTCAACTAAGCTTGGAACCTGCCGTTTTCTTGAGAGATTCTTGACTGAGACCCAACACCAACCGAACAACTCAATATTAAGGTCCTATGTTCGGATTGCTGGTTGGATATGCAGGTGTCCTTTTCGGCCTAGTAAATGTTGCGTTGGTAAACTCATCCGGCAGGTGGGACTCAGAGCGGTGCGAATTCCACAGCCATCGGGACAGCCCGCAACGCCAGCTCCTGGTGTTGATGTCTGTCTGCATCAGATTCGATCCCGTTTTTGTGTACAAACGCTTGGGTTTATCTTGTTTAGGTTAAGCGAATGAGTGCGTAATGTGTACAGGCAGTGACAGGGAAAGTGTGCTTGGGCTTCTGGTTTGTGTTTATTTTAGAATAGGCGACACCCTTACACCTGACTCACGCGGTGACCACAGAAGTTTGTTACACATGATACACGAAGGCTAAATATCATGAATATCCTGAAAATTGTAATTTGACAACAAGCGCACTTTAAGGAGTTAAGCTCGTGGCAACTACGTTATACAGTCGAATATCTGCGTGACAGCGGTCTGAACGTTTCACTCCCGTCTCTGTCGAGTGAACACTGAAACGTCTACCTACTGTTTACAACTGACGAATTTTCAGGCGATCTGAATTTCGGAAGTAGACGGCCGGTATTGCCGGTTGTCTCTTGACGTATTTTGACCTTATTTTCTTGACAAGTTGTCCTTTTGAAAAGGAGGCACAAATATAAAAGCGGAGGTTTGATCATCGCGAAAGATGACGTCTGGCAGTTTGAACGTCGTTTCCGACGGTGCCCATCGTGTGCAGGTTGGGCAGGGGGGGGGGGAGGGAGGGGGAGGGACATTGGCTTGCGCTCCAATGCGTTTGTAATGATAGTAGACTTGCGCAGCATCCTACCGCGCACTCTCCCTTCTCCCCACTCCGGTTCGGCATTAGCACCGGAGGCGAAGGAAGCTGCAGATAGCTGACACTGCGCCAACCCGCGCCTAGACATTCCACCACACCCATCCAAGTCCGCAACACACAGTGGCCACGATTTTACACAGTAGAACGAGAAGAGAGAGGGTGGGGAGGGAGAGGAGGGGTGCGTCTTGGATATCCTACCTGGCGTGGCGTGGGCCTGCCTATTGTTAGCGTGTTTTCCGTAACGCCAGCCCGACCCCGCTCTTGTCCTCGTGTTGGTGCCAGCACATCCACCAATTTGCCCTGTTACTTGGAAACCTTCCGAAGCATAAGTGTGCATGCTCTTCAAAACTGGTCATGACGATGCGGGGTCCACCGCGACTCTTTCTCGCGCATTTACGAATCAGGAGCAAAAGGTGTTCAAGGCAGCCGCATGTTTGAAGGCATCCCTCTCTTGCCGGCTCGGTCCCTTCTACTAGCCTTGTGAGAGACTACACGCACAACCTCAGCATGTGGGAGACTAACATTTGGGCTACCTCCTCTCTGCACAATGCCTTGGTTGCAGGAATGAGAGGTGTGTACCGGGTTTGGAATCATAGACTTCATTTTAGTCTATCATGAAGTATACAAATACCGGTTTGGACAGGTACCAGTAATTTATTTCGCAATTATCATTTGTAATCTCGGACGCGTTTCCCTTACTCTCCCTACTATCGCGCTCCCCCCTCTCCCATGCAATCATTTTCGCCGTCCTTCTTAACAGGGATCTGAGTAGTCAGGCGATTTTAGCGTGCTCCCAGACGGTTCTCGGTTCTCCCATGGACGGCAGTTCCCCCAAGCGTCCGGCCCCGAAGGTGGGCGATAAGTCGTCTCCCATTTTTCAGCCAATGCTAAATCGTAAGTCTGCAATTGATTACTCTCATTTCTCCGCTTTGAGCAACAGCTTTGCGTCTATTAACTAGCCAGCCAGCAGAATTGTCCCTGTAGTCCATCGTTGTTTTTTTTTTAAATTGTAATCGTTTATGACCACGTAGTAGTATCATTTGTCTGACAGACTCGGTCAGTCAAATAGCGCGTTTCTCACCATAATTAATAAGTCCAAATATACCTGAACGCACTAAGACAGTCGCAGCTTGAAGGAGGCTCCTAACTCGGTCCTGCCTAGGACTGAGAGTTGGACTTCAGTGGCCCCTTAGTGTGATCCTTGTGGCATTTACACCAATGTGATATCCGGGCTGCCTCTGTAGTAGCCTAGTACATGTAGTTGGACCCGATTGTGCGTGTGATACGCGGTGACAGGATGTTCCCGAGTGCATCTGCGGTCTTCTTAACAACCATCTTGCAACTGGGCAAGGTGGGTGAGGTAGTTGCTGCGTAAGTCCGCCTCCCTGTAAACTAATTCGCACGCATGCCACTGTATTGTAGCTAGGGCCGTAATAAGCACACAAGGAAGTTTTTAACACGATTCACGTAAATTGGACACTTTCTAGAGCCCCGTGTGTCCTCTTTTCAACGGGGTTAAAGAATACGTGATTTGCCCTGTATTTGAGATATATAGCTTTTATTTTGTTAGCTCCAAACTCAAATACAAAGCGACCGACTAGATTTAAACTTATTCGGGCACTGAAATAATGTTAAAGCCGAAGGACACCATTTCTTTGAGCAAAATGTTTAAAGAAGGCATGCCTTTTTGTAAAAGGGTTAAAAAAAGGCTGCTTATGTGTGCTTGTTACGAGGACACTGAAAATCCATGCAAAATGCCTGCTGCTTAAGTAGAGCATCGGACCCATCCCACGAAAGGTGCCGATATTTACCAAACACTTTAGGGTAAGATGATTCCATACTAACATCACAGGTACTAGCCAAAAGCCCATACACGCTTGTTTCGCCGATATTCTGCCGCTTCATGGCGCAGCCGCGAGGGGTTCGGCTCGTCAGTGGGTCACCAGCATTCCCCGTGTGTTTTCTGGTAGATAGTCCAATTCAGAAATTGTTGCCTTTTAATTTCCTCAGATATTAACTGAGAACTTGGCGTAGATCAACATATTATAGGGTCAATGGTCGCAGCACAGACCGAGAATTGTAATACATGACCTTGAATAAACTGATCTACTCCAACTTCGTAGATAATTTCAAAGGAAATTAAAAAGCGACAGTTTCTTAATTGGATTACCTACCAGAAAACGGACGGCGAATGTTAGGGGGTCCACTGACGAGCGGAACCCCTCGTAGCTGCGTCATGCGGCGGCAGAATATCGGCGAAACAAGCGTGTATGGGCTTTTGGCTAGTACCTGTGGTGTTAGTATGGTATCACCTTACCCTAAAGCATACTACTAGCTGTCCGTCGACAGTCACTGGATGTTACGCGGTTACCCGCTGTGGGTGATGGACTTTGGCCCAAATATTCATACATAAAATTCTCTGTCTGAGCCTATAGACCTTGAATAAACTGATCTACTCCAACTTCGTAGATAATTTCTGAGGAAATTAAAGAGCGGCAAGTTGTTGTTGTTGTTAGATCAATGCTTCTAGGCTATACATGTGGACATCGTCAGCGTTAGGTGCAATAACAGATGTTGCATCATTCTGTTTGTCATTTAAAATAATGCTACTTTCCTGCTCAGTAATGGGTGGGTGGTCGGCGGAAAACGGAATGACATTTCAGGTACCGGCGTCGCCGTCTCCCGATGATAATCACCACTAACTTTTTCACCTCTGGGAGTAAGTAGTCGAACGGATATAGTTTTTCTTTGCCATTATTGAATTGCATATGAGCATGTTGGGGGTTACACGGGAGCAGATCGACCTCTTCAGTGAGCGGGTCTAGTTTTGACTGTTAACTGCTCTTATTAAGAAGAACGCTGCCAGAGAGGTAAGACACATGGGGAGAGTGCTCCCTGTGGTTGAGGTCCGATTGTAGACAAATATTCTCTCATGAGGTGTCATATTTGTGGTGGTACACGGAAATGATCTGATTAAGTTTAAAGCGTCAAGTACGACAGATTTCCAGTGCGTGACAGGCAAAATTTGAGAGCAAGTAAGATAGTATTCCATAAAGCGGGATACATCGGCCGTACAACGAGACGCCTGGTAAAGAGGGTGCGTGAACGTATGCCTGCCTAGCTAGACAGAGGTGAGACCCGATCGGTTTCGAGTTCTATTCTCGCACATTTAATCGATACGGATCACCGAGTCGATGCCAAGGAAGCATTTCAGGTTGTCTATCGGACACCAACAAGCTTCACTAAAGGCATACGCCAACGGATACTAGCAACGGCCGAGGCAGTGGCTATACGGCTAGCGAGTCCGGTGTTGTGCTGTCAAAAAACCCTGACACGAGCGCTCTCTCTGCCGTGGCCAACGCCAGCCTCACGTGATGACGACATGCCTCCTCAAATCCCTAATTACAGTGATGGGTACTCCGTGTACTCAATCCAAGAACATCACTCAAAGACTCGCTTACCCGCCTCCCCCAGCTCTAAGGGCCAAAACCTGCCGACCTCGTTTTGCGGGCGGTGTGGGGAAGATGAGTGCCAATAACTTAATTGCCCTTGGGAAACCTATAAACACTGCTAATTTTGTAAGTTTCCATTCCTTCATGTAACTGTATTGGCCTAAAGAAGAATTACTGAAAAAAAACGTGTTTGACAACCTGACTTTTCAAGTGTAACATGGGAATATTTGTGGAAATTATTCCATAAAGTTTGGTCCCAACGTTCGACCTGTCCATTTCCTTGGGGATTGTACAAAGTGGTCCTACTCATCGCCACTCCCTTATTGCGAGGGAATTACTGAATGTGGAGAAGGGCTGGCACAAACATTTAATGGCAGTGACGGCAGTCTGATCAACATAGACAAATGCAAATGGGAAAGGAGAATATTCATCAATAGTCGTCAGCACATAACGCTTGTGGGTTACCGACGGAAGAGAACCTTTGAAGTCGAGTGACAATCGTTCGAACGGCTGGGTCGCTTTGATGAGTTGACCTTGGGCTTTAAATAAACGGGGTTTGACTTCACAGCAGACCTGACATTTAGCAGCAACGCTACGAATCGCTTCCATCGAAGAAGGGAGATGCTGAGCTCGAACACAGTGCGAAAGCCGAGACACGCCGGGATGACAAAGTGACTCATGCAGTTCTCTCACATCGAGACTGGTTAGGAGGACCCCACAGCAAGTACGGGAAAGCGTATCCGGCGCTCGACTTACCATGTCGGAAGACAGTGTCAAATTTGAGAGATGACTGTTCCAACCTCCAGCGTTCGATCTTATCATTTTTGGCCTTCACTTCTTGCTGATTGCTGAAGATGAGGGCAACAGAACACCGATCCGTGACAAGTTTAAGATGATTACAGAGGAGGAAGCGCTTCCATTTGCGTGCGGATTCCACTTCGGCATATGATTCTTTCTCTATAGCTGAACGGTGATGCTCATTTGAAGAGAGGCTGCGTGGAAATAATGCTAATGGTCGGCCATTCTAAATTCAGTGTGGCAGCGATTGCGACGTCTGAAGCATCAGTCTCGACAGCTAATGGGGTATCGTACTGAACAGTGGCTTCCACAAGTTCCTCATTAATAACCACAAATGAATCCATTGCCTTAAATGGTAAAGGGCAAGTTTTGTTATGGATGAGCAGACGAAATTTACCTGAAAAAGGGATATAAATGGCGAGTAATATACGAACTGTCCCACGACTCGTTGTTGAGCCTTGAGATCATGCAGAGGAGCCATTTCACGCAAGGGTCGTAGACGACCCGGACAGGCCCTAATGTTACCCCTGGATACCTTGTAAGGAAGACGTTTGATTTGTTTAGCAGCAATAACGCCTTTGGCTTCATTCCGTACTTTTCGGCCAGGCTAAGGAATTTCCGAAGGGTTGAGTCATGCTCCGCAAGGCCGTCCACGTAGACGAAAATATTCGGTAAGGATCGGCTGAAGGACATTAAGCATCTGCGGCATAAAAAGAATACTTACTATACTTATTTAAGTGGGTTTTAGTCCGACACGATTATTTCGCCTTCGTGTTTCCTCGTACAAGGTTGGGTCGTCTTTTGTAGACAATATGGTGGATTGTCTACAATGACCTGAGCTCAGAGAGTTGAGAAGCGATCGTTGTAGACACTTAATGTTTATTTTTTTAATTGTCCTGCTTAATTTCGGTTGCTATATGTCAATGCATTAAAACTTTCCTTCCGAAAAAGGAATTTCCCAATTACAATACCTATTTCGCCATTTCTCTATGCAAACATAGGCCTAGCTCGTAAAACCCCTATTACCACTTTTTCCCATAAGACAGGCACCTTTGGCTGGTCGTGTGTGTTTGGGCTCCTTCACCCGATCGTTGCTAAACGTTCTTTAGACCCTAGCGCATAATCATGTCGTCGATGGTCCGCTGGTAGCACGCAATCCCGTTGGTCACACCAAACGGGATGCGACAAAATTGATACAAACGTCCACAAGCTTCAAAGGCAGTGTATGGTCTTCCCTTTTGAGATCAAGAGTGCTATATCTGTCGTGGTTTGCAATATGTTCAATCATTTCGTCTATGCTCTGAGAGAGGTAGACGTCTAGAAGTGCGCATCTGTTGATTGTTTGGCAATTATCGACAACCATCTGCTTTTTGTGGTTTTCGTTGGCTACTAACAGAACTTGGGCTCGTTAGGGGGATAACGAATGCTCAATTACACCCTCAGAAAGAAGCCGACCAATCTCTTTTCATATAAATCGCTAACCTACATTGGTGTATCTATGAGATTCAGTAAGGATAGGCTTGCAGTCCGATGTCAGATTAAAAATCAAACGGGGAGGCTTGACGCAAGTGGCAGTCACAGACGAAGGCAAGAACGTAGGTTTAGGTCCACCAAAAGAGATTTCGAAACTTTTGTGCAGCAGGAAAAAGTCATGTTCTAAGTAGAACATCGGCGCACAATTCCATCAGGACCGATAGCTTGGCCTCGTATTTTGTGCCTTTACATTCAATAGACTAGAACGCGCCATCGCGTGGAGCTGGTTAAGGCGGTGGTGGCCATGGATATCTCAGTGCGAGTGCTATGAACCTTTCGCTTATTTCGGAGCACCACTGAGGAAGAAATGTAACTTTCGGAACTACCTGTGTCAGTATGGGCCTGAAAAGTAGTTCCATTTATCTGTAGTTCAACCGCTGCGCTTGAAAGACAGTCAGAAACAGCAGCTGATGCCAGGGTGGAGATGGTACGATATATAGCGGAAATGATGGCTTTTCGCTTTCGTGATGTTAGGCACAGGTCTTGGAAGTGCCTTTACATAACGCATCGCGTGCGGGACACATCGAACGGCAGTGCCTGTCGCAGAAGGCCGAGGTCAAGCTTGACGAAGTTTCACATGGCTCAGATGGGCAGATCTTTGGAGGGTGCTGATACGATAGAGACTGCCTTTCTGCCAATTCCAGTGACCGTACCTTATCAAAGGCAGTTTGGAGGACAACGAAGAATGTGCCCAAACAACCTCAGTCGTCTTTCTTTGTTGACTTGGGATAAACTCACAAAGATTTCGTTCTGTGCGTGCGTACGGTGTCATTTGAGACGAAGTCGGTGCACTTCACCCGATTACGGAGACAATGTCGACCATACTCAGTCCTCTAGGCAGCAGCCTCGCATCGAAGTATTTGAAACTGTCTACTTCTTCAACCTGATAGCCATCACTGGCAAAAGGTGGCCTTTTGCGTATTAGGAATACGGCTTAAAACACTTTGGTCTTCCTAGTGCTGGTGGATAGACTGAGGCATTTTGCAACTTCATACACCATAGACTAGGTCACCTGTAACAGTCTGGAGTTGAATTTGGCTGCCATCATGTGTACTAATGGTTTCAATCTGAGCAGAAGGAGAAGTCATTTGAAACACCGGAATCATGAGCTCTGGAGGGAAGGGCCGTAATGAGAGGTACGGAATGTGTGTCATTATTGCCTACATTTGGCTGTCCTGATCGTGTCCTTCCTCTGTGCAATCTATGTGATCAGACGTCAGCGCCTTGGACCAATCAACAACTGGAGGCTGACATTATATTATGCGCAATGTTAGTAATTTGCTCAAATATAGGTCATGACACTATACTTAATGCACCGCCCCTCCCCCTCCCCACACCTCCCGGCCATCTCCCTCCCCTACACCTGGTTCTGCTGAACCGGCGTACGGCATTTGCGGCTCACGCTGAACTAGGGCATGAAATCTGTCGACACGGCGAAGTCACCTGTCTCCTGCTTTTCGATCTCTTCGTTCTCTGATGGTAAATTTAACTTTGCCGAGTGTGAGGCTGACACGGAGCCGTTATACTGCCGCTGCTACTTGAAATACTTTTTCTGGACTGACGACAAATCGGTAGGCACAGCATTTCTATGCACCTGTAAAATGCCGGTGGGGTTGTACTTCACGCCACCCCCCTCATTGCGGACTGCCACCTGGCTGATTTTGCTCTGCTTCCGAGGTGCGTGAATGCAACGTGAAGTGACTTTCAGAGCCTGGATGCAGTGCCAACTCGTTAATGCTAGAACCTGAATGCTGCCCTGCAGTGTGTCTGCGATAAAAGTATTATTAGTAGTCGGATTTGGTCTGAATAATTCATGCTTGAACTCGAAGTACTTTTGTACATTTTACAGCTCTCAAAGGCGTTCCATTCGAGCTGTCTGCCCTCTGTCGACGGAATAGTCAAAATGGGGTGAGCCATGCGTTTATTTTGTCTTTCTTCACCCACTTGCACTGGCTTTTTCGACGCATCTTTTTATAAGCCTTGTTCACATATTTTTTTCCACTTTATTCCCTGTTCATCTTTAATTACGTCTTCATGCTTTTTTTCTGATTAATGATTGTCCACTGCACAACTCTCTTTCCCTCCATCATCATCCTCATCATCCTCATCTTCATCGTCATCATCATCATCATCATCATCATCATCATCATCATCATCATCATCATCATCATCATCATCATCATCATCATCATCATCATCATCATCATCATCATCATCATCATCATCATCATCATCATCATCATCATCATCATCATCTTCTTCTTCTTCTTCTTCTTCTCTCATCCCCACTATCACCACCATTTTTATTTTCTTCTCCGCTTTATCCTTCCCCTCCTATTTGCTCTCTCCTCCAACTCACTTTGGGCATTGTGTGTTTTGGACACATGCAGTCAGCAAACCGCCACTCGCCCCTTCCAAAACGCACGCCTGACAGTTCTGACTCACAGGCAAACTGCCAACTCCCGGCAGTCTTCTATGTGTATAGAGTAGGATTTCTAACTCTCCCAGCTCACTGGACCCCGCCATTTGATCAATATCCGAAATCGCCTCATTTTAGACTTCTCCTAAAACACATAATCCCATAGTGGCCACCTTCCTATGACCCACTTGTTGCTAAGGCTTTGGGTTGCTACACACACATATCGGTGGTTCTCAAGGTGCCTCGGCGAGGGACTCGTGTTTCCCTGGGGGCTGAGGTGTCCAAAAGGGTACCAACCATGTCGTCTTCTTCCCTGAGTACTTCAGTTTATTATTTTGCGTAAAATGTTATACAACCTTTGCATTTACCACCTGCTCAAGCTTGTTTTCTTGTGTGCCTTTTTGTAGATGAAATCTTTACCCATCCAACCAAGGGCGGCCGAGGATGTTGAACAAGAGGTCGGCTACCGCCTCTGTCTTATTTCACATGTCTTTCCATTGGGCATGTTGATATGCCTCTGTTTATCTCTGCAAGTCTATTGACAGAGCAGTTTCTGAAAGCCGTCTCCGATTTGAAAAGATTGCCTGAGTAGGCCTGCGATAGTAATTGTAAGGCAGCTTAATCCGGAGGTATTTCGGCCACAGCAGGATGTCGGTTTCGGCACTAGCCTCTCTCCGGTCGTTGGATAAAATATCATTTTGTGAAAAGTGATAACTTGAGTAGTATAAATGTCCCTCGGTTGTTTTGATGCCCCCACCAATTCGTTCATTTATAGAGAGTGCACAAAATAGTATTTTTTGCATTAATTCTGTGGCCAGTAACGTATTTTTCATAATTTGGGCTCGAGGAAATGGTATTCTTTGGTTTGAAGGACGTTTCTATGATATTTTTTAAGACCTTGAAATCTTCTTTCGTAAAGCATCGTTTCCATCCATCAATTGATGCCGAATGGACAACATCCATTGCAAATTTTAATGCGCCCTTATGATTCCTTAATAGGATATGGAAATACATGATATTACTTTTATGGAAAATATAAAGCTTGTAGTTCTGTAACCCGGGGTGCGGGTGCAAGGGCACGGCCGGTTAAACACCATTCGGGAATTGAAAACGTTTACCAAAACAGAAAGCTATCCTTTATTCACGAATAAATTTCACGGACGACGTTATTTTCTACCAAATGAGTACACGAAAACATGTTTGTATGCTTTCTGTAAAGCATAATAAACACACCTTAACCCCCAACCCTGACCCCTAATCCCTAACCCCAACCTCTAACTCTAACCTCTAGCAGGTACGGCTAAGAAGTAGGATCCTGCCATAAATTTGAATTTATAACGTCATAGAAAATCAGTGGGAAAGCTCACACTATTTATGTAGTCATTTTTTTTTACAAAATGTGATTTATACTGGTACCCAGAAAAAAAGCTCATTTCAATGCCGACATCCCAGCACGGCTGAAACATCTTGGAATTATGCTGTACGACAATAAATATTAAAATCTCACTTTGGTATTTCTATGGAATCGGTGGCACATTTCAGAACTTGGATTGGCATTTTATGAATTAGCACGCGCACCGTACCTTCATTCAGCCGACGATAAACGCCCACACCATTACTTGCTGTTCCTGGAAGACGAGAGGCGTGGGGGTTAGACCTTCCTTGTGCACATATTGTCGGCCCGAGGATGTGCCTACCGACTTTGGAGAGGCTCTGTGAAAATAACGCTACTAGTCGACCATTCTGATTCAGTGTGGCAGCGATTGCGACATCTAAAGCATCAGTCTCGACAGCTAATGGGGTATCGTTCTGAACAATGGCTTCCACAAGTTCCTCATTAATAACCACAAATGATTCCATTACCTTCAATGGTAAAGGGGAAGTTTTGTTATGGATGAGCAGATGAATTTTATCTGAAAAAGAGATATGAATTGCGAGAAGTATACGAACAGTCTCACGGCTCGTTGTTGAGATCATGCAGAGGAGCCATTTCACTCAAGGGCCGTAGACTACCCAGATCTGGTCAAATGTTACCCCTGGAAACCATGTAACCAAGAAGTTTGATTCGTTTAGCAGCAATAACGCCTTTGGCTTCATTCCGTACTTTTCGGTCATGCTAAGGAATTTTCGAAGGGTTGAATCATGCTCCGCGAGGCCGTTCCCTCAAATAGTCATATTGTCCACATAGACGAAAATATTCTTTAGACGCCCGCGCGTAGTTATGTCGTCGATGGTCCACTGGAAGCACGCAACCCCGTTGGTCACACCAAACGGGATGCGACAAAATTGGTACAAACGTCCAAAGGCCTATATAATTAGTGGTCAGAGTTAGGGGTTAAGGTATGTTTGCTACGCTATGTTATGTTTTACAGAAAACATACGAACATATCCTTTCGCGTACTCATTTGGTAGGAAATTATGTCGTCCTTAAAATTTATTCGTGAAGAATGGATATCTCTCAGTTTTGGCAAACGTCTTCAATTCCCAAATAGTTTTTAACCGGACCTGCCATTGCACATGGACCCCGGGTTCCAGAACTACAAACTTTATATTTTACGTAAAAGTAGAATCATATATTTTCATATCCTATTAAGAAATCACATGGGCCCATTAAAATTTGCAATGGATGTTGCCTCAATAAATGGATGGGAACGATGCTTTATGAATGAAGATTTCAAGGTCTTAAGGACAAGTCATTGATTCGCATGACAGCTCACCATATACTACATTCATTTTTGCGAAAAGTAACCTTCAGATTTTCCGCAAACTTGTCCGCTCTAGGGCTGGATAAGCGACTGGCCGGTCGATGTGACCATTACTTAAGACATCGGTCATCAAAAGTAGCGATTCCCTCGACGAGCACTCAATCGGGTCATCTGTTTGACTCAAGATTGTCACGGAGTCAAGGGCAGAGCTATGATGTGGTGAGGATGATTGCGAGGCCGCCAGGGAAAGTTTTTTCCGTCTGACAATTAACTCATGTCAGTGTATCTCTCTGCATGCCCTCTGACCGGTATAACCATTGTAATTACTGTAACCGCAGTTGAATTTGTCATCGCCCCTTTTTGTCTCTTCATCTATGCAGGGAGGGACGCTCATCTTCATTTGCAAAAATGCCAGTCCACTTGTATTATCGTCTGACACCTGACGCTCACACCGGAGCACCTTATGGGAGGTGGGGTGCGGAGACTGGCGCTGCTCGCTTCGTTTTGATGTGCTGTCGTGTGTCGTGTCATGTGCTAGGTCATGGTCTGCGGGTACTTGAGTTGGCGTCAAAGCGCCTGGCCTGCAGTATTTATCGAGCTGTCTCGCCCCTGATCTGCCCCAGCGCTTTCACACCCTGTCAGGGCTGAATTACTCACTGTTCTCGTAGTCGTGCTCAACGACGACGGATTGTGGGTCAGTCTGCGCCACTGCGTTGAACTCGCTCGTGCGCGATCTCCGACATTCGCCTGCCCATCATGCCAGGGCAATTAGTCAGGATATCTGACGCGGTAAACAATTGGCGGCATGACCTCAGGCGGGGGTTGACCTCTACACTGCATCAGTAATCGCCGTGTGCTTGCCTGGGCTGCGCGACAAACCCTCGACAAGTACCCAGTCATTCTGGAGACCTGTCGCTGCAGCAGACCTTTGTTGATGAGGGTGTGAGAACGCCCCGCCCCCCCGCCATGGCAGCAAAGTACAGAAGTGTACGCTGCTTCGGTTTCGCATCCTCATGCCTCCGAGTGTATCGTTCCGATAGGAAGTTTAGGCGTCGCAACCGCTTGACTGCTTTACTAGTGGTGGGTTATTCCTCTTCACTACGTATCATCTGCATGCCTTAAAGTCACGATACTCGGCGATCAAGTGAGGCGTTATTGCCATCGAGTGGTCTGTCGCCCTTTCCCGAAATGTTTAAAATACCCTACAGCCTTCATTAACATAAGTTATTTTATTTTACAGTTTTCGTACAATTTCTCCTTGGAACGGTCAGTCGTACTGGCCAAGTGAACAATGCCTTACCATTCTTTGGGGCATCTACACACGGGCGGGCAGTCGTACGACCAACCAAAACACTTGTGATCTTTCATTTTCTTCATTCGTGTCCTCACTTTTTCTCCTCAACGCCTCAATTCCCTGCCGCTCTGTAACGCGGCCATTTCAACCGTCAACTGCTGTCTATTCAGATCGTCTAGTGAACATTCCTACGCCAGAAGTTGCTTTTCTGTCATTTGCTTTCAAGTTACCTGAGCCTAGTTCCTTTCCAGCGTATGCGGCCGCCTCTGGCGCAGGTCAGGGTGGGGATTCCTTCACTAACGGAACGGTGTACGCGGATGGGGTTCTGAAAAGAGAGTTTTCGCGATTATTCCATGTAATTGCTAACCTCGCTGCGGTCATTTCTGAAAAAAGTGAACCTTTTGGGTCCGAAAGGAGGCGCGACCAGGGGGCAGTAACTTTGTTCATGTGTTGAAGGCTGATTGAGCACGGGGACAGTCTGTTGTTCTGGCCTTTCGAACTCATGCAGGTGTTAATCGTCAGAGATGGTGGCAACGGTAGAACAATCGATAATTATAGGGGGAGCTGCGCAAGACTGGAGATGACTGCCCGGGTTCTGTACGCCGGCGCCAGGTGGATAAGTCAATCGATTGAGCTCTCAGCTAAAGCCGAGGTTCCAATCAAATCTCGGTCATTTTTTTCCGGCGTGAGCAATTATCTTGGTGGCTACGAAGTTAAACGCGTGGGGGCAGCCTTTTGTGATAAGCCAGTGCCTTGTCGCACAACTAGCTTATGTCCACGTATGTGCCATCTGAACGTGCGTGCAGTCTGACCTGCGTAGTTACAAGGACAGTTTTGACACAAGATGCGCGCACTACCCCAGATTGCGCCTCGGGATTTAATCAGTGTTTAATTTCCATGACCCTTCTGAGCTTGGTGACTTCGGGGGGTGTGCATTTCCAACACCCAGCTCGGCAGCAATGCGCTCGATCGCTTCTGAGGCGCCCTTAATGCATGGCAAAAAACGCCATATCGTTGGTGGTTTTGTTGTTTGGGACCGCGTAGTCATCACGTGCTTTTTCCTTCGGATCTGTTTGGAGAGCGTCTTCACACAGCCTTGTTAGTGTGCCACCGGATGGCTGCTGTGAAAACTGAGAAGCTGTTTGGCGTTCGATGGCCTTCTATAAACCATCGTTTCAAGTTTGCCGTTAAGGTTTCGTCTGACGAGTATATCCAGAAGGGGCAATTGTTGTGCCTGTTCTTCACCAGCGAATTTTATATCTGGGCAGACTGCGTTGAGCGGGTTGTGGGAACTTTGTAGCAGGTCCTTATTTGCGATAACGTGTGCTCTTCGTAGCGACGCAGAAATGCCTGCTCATGTTGAATGAAGGGAATATCTTTTAACTCTTGTAGGACCGGCGAGCCGAGTGCAGTTCCCTGACGTTTCAGATTCACACTTGAATCCGTCACTAGAGGCGAAATGCAGATATTGATTGTGGGTCGCACAGATGCTGCAGTCGATATGCCACTGGATGGTTTTCAAAAGAGGCAACTGCTGCATTCCTCACAGGTGGTTGCACGTGATGCGATAGTCAATTCTCGACAGCTCCGCCCGTGACCCAAAGGTGGCCCCCCCTGTCCGTGAGCTGCCGTATAGAATGGGACTTGGGACCATGGGAGATGATCGAGCAATCATCGCACCAACATCCAACGCACGTGATGAAATTACAGCAATTAACGACGCGAATGTCGCCCGCCACACCACTTGCAACGATCCCTGATGAAGGGGGAGCCGTGAATATTCATATGTGCGCGACAGCATGGCTACTGCATCCCCTTACGCATGGACCACCCGCATCTGCTTTGTCTCCGATGATGGGTTCAAGCAGGAATCCGAAACGTCAGACCAATAAAGCTCTTGTCACAGCGATCGTGTCTCCTTCATCAAGACCATGAGATCGTTGGATATCACAGTAGGGACCGCCCAGAACATAGTCAAACCATTCGAACTTAAAATGCACAAGCGTTGTTAGCTCATTGGCTGGTTTAGCTACTAGCTTCTCTTTGAGCGGTTAGTCTAGCAAAGAAGCACCCCCAAGAGGCACTACGGTCTTAAGAATTCAGAATGTAGAGAAATATGCCATGTCTAAAAACGCGTAATGGGCTAGATCGCAGTTGGTAGCCAGGAATGAGGAAGCGGACGGTGACCTTAACCCTAATCCTAACCTTCACCCTAACCTCAAACTTAAACGTTAACCGTTAAGCTTGACGACAACCATTGCCCTAACCGAAATCGTAAATGGAGGCGTAGCCCTTAGACATAGCCGCAGCCGAGAAACCTGACCGTAATACTGAAACCTAATCGTACGATCAAACCTTAACCGTTACCCGAAAACCTAAGCCTAAAGGCATAACTATAACCCGACAATCAGAAACCACTAACCGGTACCTTAAACTTAAGCTCAAATGCAAAACGGAAGCCAAATGGGTCAGATGTGATTATGGAGCCCCACAAAATAGCCCCAGTAAACAAACCCCCCAGTCACCTGTAATACGGGGCCTGGCTACCAACTGCGATCTAGCCGCGTAATGTTTCGATCCTTGGGATTTAGACAAGCCGATGCTTTGCTGATGCAGGGGACGAGTGCGTTATGTCATTGTCGTGAGCAGTGAATCTCCCGTGACCACAATGCCGCTGAAGTGCTCAGTCTAAGCTATCAGCAAAACATCATTGTCCATGTGGAAACTATCCTGACAACAAAGACATCACCACGTGGATTATGAGCAATACGAAATGCTCACTTACACCAAAGGACGTTGAAGGTTGAGCTCGAAGCAGTCACCCACTGACACTAGGTGTTTAAGAAGTCGGCAAGATTTCCTTTAAAGTTCTGCCTGCATTTTAAATTAACCGAGTTTACTACTTTTCTGCCATGAGAACATGCCTTGCGAGATAAGTAGTGCAATTGTTGCGTCGGCTTTATAAGCGCTATGACACTCTCTTCTTACTTGCTAACAAACTGGCAGCGTTTTTACAACCTGTCGTCCTTCCCAAACATTAGCCGTAACAGTTTTGAGGAAAATTTCTCCTTGACCTAATTGTGTCCTGCTGGCCGTCGGGTCATTAACCGCACCATTCCCACGTGGCGTATCAAGGCCCGGGAAACGAGCAGTACATTGCCGATAGAATCAGGGGATGAAGTTTCAGGATGCAGTTCAGGAGAGAAATATCCGATCAATGGGACAAGAGGTTTATTCGCGTGAGGTTTCGGATTCTCAGTCACGTACACTGCTGGTCAGGTAGCAGTCAGCGCTGTTGTCGGCTTTGAGAAGGTGGAAAGTTCGCTTCTCCCTCCTCGCTTGACTAATTACTCTACCCAGAATTTAAAGGCGGGAGTCATTGTTAATCAACTGCGGATCGGAGAGGCATGACTCAAGCTACTCACTGCTGATATGGTTGTCATCTAGCGAGAATTTCAATTTCGTCAAACTTCAAGATGTGACGGGGTTCCGTCGAATGAGCCTGGACCTGGCAATTAGCATACTTCCTTCTCACTTCTGATGAATATACGACCTTCCGGACGCGGATTGATCTCCCAGTTTCTCCGAAGTTTGTCCGCAATCGCAATAGATCCGGCAAACTACTCCAAACGTTTCCTATCATGACAGTGGGTCTCTTGGCCAAATTATTTGGAGCCCGAAAGTTGCTTCTGGTGTGTGAGCAATTCAAAATCCAAGTGCTGTGAGACGGCGACTGACAGCTTTTGAGACGCTCTTCAAGTACGGGGGCGCTTGACAAAATTTGGGCTGCGCGAATTGCGTCTTTCGTCTTGTTAGCGCATGAATCTATTGACAAAGTTGAGCTAATAGCCAATCGCTCTGAGCACCCGTCGAAGACACTGCAACTCAGCAACTTTGTCCTCCGGTTCAATGCAGCGCGGTGTCACAGCAAGTCAATATAGAGGCCCTACGCGACTGCGTCTGTGAGTGGTTTTGCAGATTACTAGATGGTGCATTTTGGAGCTTGGTATTTGCCTCTTGCTTGTCGCTTTCCTTGCCACAGTCATCGTGGCAACGCGATGGCTTAATCAAAATTCAATCCTGCAAGGGATTTTAAGTGAAGAAAGTCTATCCTTGGCAACATGTTTTGCTCCCTTCGAATCCGACTCAGATTTATTGTTAGCCGAATTACGGGCTTGCGTTCCAATTGTCATCAGAGCCTGCAGGCTTAAAAATAGCACCTGGTCACGATCGCGTTCGGTGCAGCGATATTCGCTGTTGTTATCTTCAGGCTCATCGCCCAGCCATACGTGTTCACCGCACAGTCAGTCCCACAAAAGGCTAAGCAGTTGCCGCCTCCGATGTTTGCATAAGTGAACGCACATGCACGGCCAGGCGGCCAAGGCTGCTCATACCCAGCCCAAATGCCCTGGCCCAGGTATAGACACTCCCAGGCGCAGCAGTTCACATAACAAATACTGTACAGCCACGCAGTAGGTGACATATCCCTTTGGTAGGCGTCAGTGGGTCCCGCCAGCATTTCCTTTTTGGTTTCTTGTATAAATTGTTAGAAAGTGTAGCTATTTACTTCCCTTACAAATGAACGGCAAATGTGGAGTAGACCGGTATTTTTAATGTCTGAGCCCATATACCTTTAATATATTGATCTACTCCATGTTCGAAGTTGATTACTAAGGAAAGTGAAAAACCACAATTATCAACCCCTGCAAATTATGCACAAAGCGGCACATATGGATCGACCAAAAGTCTGACTTACTAATGAACAACACACCAGACGGAAATGGGTTCTGCCAAAGGACTTTGGACCAACTGCTCTTCGAACGTGGCGCCCCTTCCCCCGACGAGGAAACCGCCTGGACCTCCATCCCTACTTCCGTAACCCCTTTAACTTCGTTCGTGACGACCGCTGGCGAGGAAAGTCCCGATGCTCCGTCACTCTCCATCACCGATGTCGTCGACGGAAGAAGCCATGCACGACCACCACCCCACCATCG